GTAAAATAAGAATACACAGCAATTAACTACATGGAATACTCCAGAGCACACTGGCTGTGTTTGCTCCCTGGTTTCATTTTAGCACGACCCTTCTGGGTTTCATCTTTCTGCCTGTACTGAGTAACACCCATGAAGAGTTTTTCTCAAAAAGAAGAAAGATTTTGCTGCCTGTACTGAGTAACACCCATGAAGAGTTTTTCTCAAAGAGAAGAAAGATTTTGACCTCACTGTCATACAAATCTCATGTCCTGTGGTGACTTTCTCCACTCCTGCACAGTAAGGAGAAGTAAAATAAGAATACACAGCAATTAACTACATGGAATACTCCAGAGCACACTGGCTGTGTTTGCTCCCTGGTTTCATTTTAGCACGACCCTTCTGGGTTTCATCTTTCTGCCTGTACTGAGTAACACCCATGAAGAGTTTTTCTCAAAAAGAAGAAAGATTTTGACCTCACTGTCACACAAGTCTCATGTCCTGTTACACAAAGTGTCCAATCACACAAGGATAAAGGAACATCAGCTTCTGAAAAGAAAACAAAACCTTACCTTATTCTTCACTGCAAAGCCAAACTTGCAATCCATTGTGCCTAAGCATCCCAAAATCTCATTCCTCCACACCAAATCCCAGAGTCATTTTAAAGACCTCCCATCTTCCTTCTAGTGTTGTATTTTGCAAAGAAAGGCTCACACTTCTGACTCTACAAGAAATGCAGCAAGGCTTTACCAAAGAGCTGCTAGAGATAATGACTCACATCACAGACAGCTGCGAAGAAGTGCCTGTGAGTGAAAAAAGGAGTTAAAAATTATACCTCAAACCCCACCTCCAGTGTCTCCACCTTCCTTTACCATGTTATGTTCTAATGAAGAGTAACGAGATGGATTCCTTTGGTATTCTTGCTCTCTTGGAAGTCTCCCAGAGCATAAAGAATATTTTAATCTTCCAAAACAGATGGAAGTGTAAATATGGGTTTTTTTCCTCCCTGAGGCCAATTTTTCTTGCAAAGTTTAAATGAATGCTCTAACAGAATATGCATACATCAGCCCCTGGAGCTGAGGGGCTGATGTATGCATAGATCTTCCTATGCCATTTCACACTCCCAAAATATCTTAACAAGCCCCAAAATCCAGCGCGGGTGGGGAAGGAGAGAGAGAACTCTGTGACACCTGGCTTTTGGAGGAGAAAAGCTCAGCACAGTAGTTCTGCCTTAAATATCTAAGACCCAAAGACTTTCCCTACATGATTTTATTGACATGCCCCTTTTTTCTTTTAAAGATACCAAATTCAGGTAAACTCACAGATCACAGTAGACAGCAGGCAGGTGGGAAAGCTGAGGAGCTGAATACAGAAGTTTCTTTTCCCTTTACTCAAGCAACAATAAACATTTTATGTTTCTGTATTTGTACAAAGAAATTTTTCCATTAAGCAACTATCTGACGAGAATTATTTTTCACTATGACATTATAACTGTCAGGAATTATTACCACATCCTCTTCTTAAGTAGCAAGACCACATCCTCGAAAAAGCAGCATTTCTCCATTTAGAGCTCCTGAAATATACACCCAGTGCATCCTAAAGACCATAACATGCAGAAATGGGTAAAAACCTGCCGATTTTGGTGAAAAAGCCGAGAGCCCAGTTTGGTCGGAAGCCGTCGGGTACCGGCTCGCGGCGGAAGCGCTCTGGTGCCCTCTGCTGCCAGGCACAGCCAGGCGAGACCGAACACCCGTGTGCGAAGGACACACCGATACCCCGTGCGGCCCGACATCCATTTCACACACCTGCACGAGCATCCACATTACGGCTTCACAAACAAAACTATCCATTAGCCATACTTCTGCTGAGCAGCCTTTCATCTCTGCCTGTGCCAGCAGCTCTCCTCCACTGGCCACTCCTCCCCAGGTAGGCACACACGGCTGGCTCTGCAGCCAGCACTGACTGTGCTCATCTCTGCATCTGCCCACGGCTGCTCCGTGCACCCCACGGCTGCTCCGTGCACCCCACGGCTGCTCCCCGCACCCCACGGCTGCTCCGTGCACCCCACGGCTGCTCCCTGTACCCCACGGCTTCATGGGAGCACACTTCATTCCACAGGGAAAACACGAGCCACGAGCTCGCTGCTTTCTTTCCCTTCCCACACTGTTAATAACATTTCCTTTCCTCTACACTGGAAAAACTTCCACTGCAAATCAGCTAGAAAAAGGAAAAAGCAACAACAGAGTATGAACTCTCCCCTACTTGAGCAACTGCCCTCTAGTTAAGTGGCTCTGGGAATTTGGTCACAGGTCTGTTCCACCTCCGGGGCCTCCCTCAGCCAGGACGCACACGTGGTAGTGCTGAAGAGGCATTCAGGAGCCAGATTATTTTTTTTAATTGTTTGATTAATTGATGATAGCCCCTCCCTTCAATAGATTGGTCTCTGCTCACCAGGGGAGCCATCGGTACGAGAAGGGGAACAGGCTGTTTGCCAATCCAGTTCCAAGGCAGCACGCGGGCCATAGGAGATAGCTCCAGGGGTACAGCTATCACCTCAGTTTTTCCAACAGTTAAAACCAGATATACCATAACTCAAAGTGGACTAGAAAAGTGATAGCAGACTTAAAAGAATAGGTACAGGTATCTGCCATCTTTGTCACCCGCAAAGCCACAGCCACGTGTGCTCTCCTCCCTTCACAAATCACAGTGACAGCACACACATGAATTAAAGAATTCAGCCACATTTCAGGCAGCCTTGCTCACAAAAGGAGTATACAGCACGACTTACAATCCTACCAGCAGCCTGGAGCCTGCCTTCCCCAGCTCCATCGTGGATCCTGGACACAAATCAAATGAAATCAGTGAAATCAAAGCAGAAAAGGGGCTTTTCAGAAAGGAGCAGGTAAAAGCAATAAACCCAGTGGCAACCCATAACTAACTCCTATACCATTAGAAGCACAGCTCCCTGACAATGAAAAACATCTGCAATGTTAACTGAAAAGCACCTAACATTTTCAGCTTCCAGACAGCCACAATTTTCACTTACTTCATGACTTAGAAGGAAAAATACAGTGCTGAAGGCAACCCATCAGCTGTACCTTTACGGGATACGCACAGTCTGAGTTCAGCCAGTACTTGGATTCTTGTATGAAATTTATTAAGACACTTCAGTTAAGAAGCTGGAAGGAAATAAATGCAAGCTGATACTAAATTCACAGAATCCCAATCTGCAGTACTACAGTTCACCATCAGTACACATCACAGACTTGTAATTTTACGGGGCAAAATATAAAGCAGGTTACAGACCCCTGCTTACGTCTACACTAACCAGTCTCTTGTGCCCACCTCCACTGCACCTGTGCAGATGAAATTTTAACCATCACCTCGGGCTGCTCACACTTGCTAATCCACTCTACATTAGTTGCTTTGTGTCATTGCAGCTGTAATTCCATACATTTCTTAACTATTAGGAATCACTGGTCGGAAAAACCTTCCAAGATCATTGAGGCCAGAACAAATCCACATCCCCAAGTGCTACATCTAAATGGCTTTTAAATCCCTCCAGGGATGGGGACTCCACTGCTGCCCTGAGCAGCTGTGCCAAGGCTGGGCAGCCCTTTTGGGAAAGACATTTTCCCTAATCCCCAACCTAAACCTCCCCTGGCACAACCTGAGGCCCTTTCCTCTTGTCCTGCCCCTTGCTCCCTGGAAGCCGAGCCCGACCCCCACCCAGCAGCACTTTCCTGTCAGGGTATCGTGGCAGAGCAAGGTGGTTTCCCCTGAGTGTCCTAAGATATCCTTACTTGCTATTAAAATGATTTCCTAAGTCAAAAAGAAGCCAAAAAAAAGTAAACTCAAGAGCATTGAGATTTCTTTACTGTTACAATCTTCAGAGGAAAAGTACAAGTTTCTCCAGTGCTCTACACTGTAAGAGACTTTCCTTAGATTTAATCAAGAAGAAAATGGCTTTTGGACTCTGCAAGCCCACAGGCAGAGTTTTATAATGGTAAAGTTGATTAAAAATGGACAGAACAACCCAGTGAGACACAAAACACAATGTACACCTTGTAGCTAATCCTTCACAGCTAGGCAGGAACACGGTAACTGTTCTGCTCCAGTCTGAAGCCCTGCACAGCTCCACCACACAGAGGCACAGCAGCTGCTGGGGCCTCAGCTCTGCAACACCAACGTGTTTTCAAATGACTGCACATTAACTCATTTGAAAGATTAAAACAAATTTAAAAACACATGTAGGGAATATGGTTTTAACTCTGTTTTTATGGAAATCCTACTGACTTGAGACCAATTTCCTTAAAATATGTTATTGGCCACATCAGTAGGATTCAGTACTAATTACACTTGGATTTGACTTCATGCATTTTGAAAGAATAAAAGTTATGTTGCTGATGGTCAGCATCAAAAACTGTTCTTCAAAACAACTCATTTGGAGAAAGAAAATAAAAAAGCTTTGGCACACCATATACTGCACACCGCTACCAAAGGAACGCTGGTTGCAAATTTCACCCAAAACACTAAAGTTGATTAAACTTTTAATTGCTGCTTTCACATAGTTTTAAGCTAGATACACAAGCTAATGAACCATTTTTAAAAATCATTAAATAAATACCGGAAAACCCACAGGGAGGCTCATTCATACATTAAGAAATTAGTCATTTCAATAAAAGCTAAAATTGGATACCACTAATTTCAAACAGATAAAACCCTTCTAAGTAGATAGGAACATTTGCAGTAGAGCATTTTGTCATGCTTAGGCTTACGAGAGCAGGAATGCCAAGCCTGAATCAACCTCCAGAAAACAAAAGCCACCGTGTTTGGGCTCCCTGTAGCTTCAGAGGCAGCCTCTCCCGCAGCCGTTCCCTGGTGGGTCCCGTGCCCGCCGAGCGGAGGGAGCAGCGGGCAGGAGCAGCCGTGCCACCGCAGCCCAGCACCCGCGGGGACCGCAGCGCCCTCTCCCTGCCCGGCCGATGGCGTTGCGAGGATCGCGGGCGCTGCGCAACACCCACCTGGCTCCGAAGATGTCTTTCTTCGCCAGATCGATGCCAGAAACCACCTTCACCCGGAGGATTCGAGACTCCTCCTGCAAGGGAAAAGGAAGTGGGTTTAGTGTTTATTCTGTACGCCACTTCGCAGATCTGGCAAGAGGTTAGCAGATAGCAGGAGGATTTGGAAAAGAACCGCCTCTTTCCAACCGTGAGGAGTATTTGACTCCAGTCAGAGCTGTGAAGAGTTCAATAAAGGCAGAGTAGAAGGAGACAATGGTAACAACATCACAGCAATCATACTGTAACAATAATAGCAAAAAAAGTAGAAGAGTATTTGCTGAACAGGCCATTTCACATCCTGAGTGATCCATATGCCACAAATTCATTCTGCATTGACACTGCAGCTCTTCAAACACAAGGGAAATTATGCATAACCTTTTAGCAATGAGAGATGTCTGTAGTGTAAAAATCGAGGCTGCACAATTAAAAATAAATACTGAAAATGAATTTTTTTAAGGCTGTCTCACCACCTTGGTGTACGTGGAGAGCTCAAAATCAGCGTTCACTGACAGATGGCAAGTCCTGCAGATGCACACCACTGAAGCATCAGCCTGATGCTCAGTTTATCCTTCATTGCATGAAGTGCCTGAGGAACATCAGTAAAAATGGCCTTTTTTCACTTTGGTTTTTTTTCACCGTGTTTGAGCAACAGGAACAGGCCACCAAAATGAAACCTCGAAAGTCTTCTACAGAAACAGGTTCTGCAGTCCCCCATATCAGTGATACCTTCTCTCCTGTGATAAGCCTCCCAGAACTGCAAGATACTGGATTCAATTACAGTAACTTGAGACTCTGTTCCTTGAAGCCTGTTCAGAAAACAATTACACTTTCCCACAGGTTTCTCCCGGTCTGTTTGCTTTAGGCAGCTGATAGCCAGACACAGCTTTGTGTCAGCTGTCTTGGCACAGATTTTTCCACCTGTGAGGAAGGTCAGGACCAGCCCCAAAGCAAAGCCATACCCGGGCAGCCCAACTCAGCCCTCTGGAAGGAGGCACAGACAGGGAATCAGAAAACAACAGTCCCATTGAACCTGTCAGCAGGGCAAGTTCCACCCTGGCACATGTCCTGCCCGAGGAACTGGGCTGCAGCAAACACTTGAGACACAAATCCTTCCTGTAAACCTGGCGTTTGGAATTCTCCAGCAGCACTCACCACCGTAAGGTACTTTCTAATTAGGGAACAGGACTTTTTTCCCCCAAAAGAGCCCAAGGCTTACCTGAGAGGTGACAAACAGCATGTGAAAAAGAACAATTCAATGGACTCACACTAGTGGATATTGAAGTTTTTTCCTACGTACCATATGTCTGTTTTCTAGAGCAGTTTTAATATACAAAAGGCAATGAACTTGCAAATTGGGATCAAGATATTCCTTCAATAAGAGAAGAGAGGAGAGAAAAAACCAAGCAAAAACTCAAGACTGTTCAGACCTCACTGAAGCAGAACTAGAGGAGAAGTTGCAATAGTTGTTTCTGTATCAAGTGCTACTCAGATTCCCTCTAGCAAAGTCCAACATCAACTTTGCTACAGTGGCATCTCCCTCCTGCACTGAGGGCACCTCTGCATATTAACTGAGTCAAAAGAAATCAATGAAAAACACAACCAATCCCCCCACCATCTTTAAAAGATAAAAAATGCAAGAGGAGGTCCCACAGCTGGAGGATCCCTAGTTGAGTTTTGCAAGACACAAAAGATGATGCTCCAGATGATCTAAACAGATTCTCAAAAACATACCTGAAGGGTCACATCCACTTTAAGGATCCCAGAAGCTATGACCCTGTTCCCTCCTGTGAGAAGGCTCTCAGCCTCTCCTCAATACTCCAATTTAACAAGCAGAACAAGTGCTTTTTCAAATGTTTATTCCAATTTTCATATGCATGAAATATGTATACATATATATGTAATGTTTAAAAAAAAGTTAAACCACCTCCTCAGTTAGTGATGAGGTCTACCATATGTACCATACATATTAACTTTTGCTGACTCCTGGTATCACAATTTCATCCTTTATTTCCAAGCGTGCTGTGTCCAGGTAAAAAAGGAGTTAAATTACTACAGCAACAGCAAGGTGATCTCACCTCATTGTCCACCAAAAAATCAGATAAAGGATTGCTTGGCTGGCACAGCCTGAGACTCACAGAGTACCAATTACCTGATGCATGTTTCCACCCAGCCCTCTCTGAAAAGACTCCACAAGAAAATTAGGATTTTGGTCAGTTTTTGTTATAAACCCAGGGCACAATAACAGAGATCACTAACCACAGGAAAATTCTGCGTGAGCAGACCCAGGATCCAAACCCCAAATAATAAAGGGGACGAGCAGAGAATGGGATAAGGAGACGGATTGGGAGGATTAAGAAGTGCAGGCAGTGAGGCTGAAGGATAACAAGCATAGAGCTGGAGTCCTAATTTCCAAGCAAACAAAGCAGAGCGAGCAGAGCTGGGTAACAAGACCGATCAGACACAGCCCAGCTCGGAGGCACTCGAGCCAGGGAGTCAGGTACACACACGGCAGGAGCAAGGCTCCCTGGGGAGGAATGCCTGTGGCTGACCGAGCAGGGACACCCGCTGCACTCTAAAAAAGCACTTGCTTACCTAGCCCGGCCGGATCTTAAAAAGGAAAGAGATGCCAGAAGCAGTGGTACAACCGCGAGTTCTCTGAGCTGAGCAGCTTCAGGTCCCACATGAACTGACACCGCTGAGCACACGCTCACACTCAAACTGTCCAGACCACAACCCGATCCACACAAAAGCTGCAAAGCACAATTCACTGGCAGTTAAGTATCCTGCCTGAAAGACTTCCACCAGTGATCAATCACCTAACAAATTCTTAAAGAGCAATTCATTTCCCAACACAAACTCTCATCTTCTAGCAAGACTATCCCAATACCCTTTGAGTCAGCAAGCAGCGGAGGCAGCTGCACACTACAGTCACAATCCTGAGACACTCCGTGCCTTCTCCTGCACCCAAGAGGCCAGCACCCACCCTCATCTGCTTATCATCCCACCCCATCCTTCCATGAGCAGCAAAGTTCTCCTCCTTGCAACATCACGGAGATCAGGATGCAGGAAACAACAACCTGGGAACAGTTAAGGGGAGACAAGTCTTCAGAAGTCACTTGCCACTTGAGTTGCCATTTGCCAAGGAAGAATCTTTGCTCTGCCCAGAGCTGAAATTACATGGCAGAAAGAAATACTTGTCTGGTGATGAGACTAAACCATATTCACCTTCTGTGCAGGAAGCGAACACCTGACTGCAATTTTTGTGTTCCACTGAATTACCAGTGCTTTGTAAAGCACCTATCCTAAGCTGCTTTTGGAAGCACAGTTTGAAATAGAAGCTCAGCTCACCCCACAGAGACTTTTTGCTATCCTATTTCAACCTTGGAAATAGGATAGACTGAGCTTGGAGGGGGCTCCAGGTGCTGCCACTCCGTACCCTGGGTGGCTCCTGCTCCCACAGGCCAGGCTGTGCTCCGCGCAGCCCCAGAGCTCCATTCCTGCCTCGCTTGGGTTTGGCACCTCCAGCGCAGAGCACAGCCGGGGATTCCAAGAAGTGCCGTCCTGAGCACTGTGACTCAACCCACGGGCTGCTGGGAATGCGTGGGCAGGTGGGGATGGCGGTGGGGCCGGGAGCATTTTGGCAGCTCCCTGCGGACATTCCGGCAGCTGTCCCTGCCCACGCTCCTGTCCTGCCCCCAAACACGGCCTCCCCAGCTGCTGCAGCAGCCTGCCCTGAAGGGCCTGGTTACCTATTAGTGCTGAGCTCCACTGCACCTCACGTCCACACCGACTTCTGCTTTGTCCAATCATTAACATGAGGTTTACATATTCCTGCCTTCCCAAAACATGTCAAAGGTTACAGAGTTCTCCTCTTCGCTGAAGGATAACCTCTACACAGTTTGTGTTCTCTTAGCTGCAGTTCACAGCGCCATTTCAGAGGACTCAGCTTATTTAGGTGGAACTGGAAGCCTATTACAGACCAAAACCCAGACTTCACCAACAGCGAACAAACCTCGATTTACCTCAGAAAAGATGAAGGAAAACAGGTGTACTTCCAGATTTAGCAAACTTTTGTATGTATATCTATCTGTATTATTCACATTTTGTTAGTTCTTTGTTAAACACAAACCACATTCACTTTCTCCAGCTGCTCTGGAAAGCCAAGTAATTTCTAAGACCCATTAAAGCACTCACAAAGAAAACTTATTAAGTTCTCCCCTTGGATTAGTAAAATACCCTGGAGCTGTGGAGTTTAGAGAAGAGCTGTGACAGCAAAGAGAAAGAATGACAGCCAAACACAGCGTCCCGAGCTGCTTTCTCCCCCGCAGACAGGGTGAAATGCTGCCTGTTCAAAGGGTGATCCAGGAGACGCAGCTCAGCCAACACCAGCTACACCAACATAGGACTGCTGTAAAACCAAGCTGAACAAGCTTTGCAATACACATCTGCATGTTCTGAACGCACAGAAAAGAAAGCCACAGCAATCCAGCCTGGTGTAAGAAGGAAAGCTGCAGATGTCAGCTTCCAACAGGACAGATAATCCCATGACACACGTCGCGTACGCATTAAGAGACCAGCCTGAAAATGCCAATCGATGGGGGTATAAAATTAGAAGGTTGACGCGTTTAAATGAACGGACAAGTGTGAAAGGCACAAGGGCTGGATCGATGCAAACCAATATTTGAACAGCTGTCATGCAGACCAGGAAGATAAAACATTTAACGTGTTTTTCCAAAGGCACACAAAAGCGTCTCCGAGTGGAACGCCCCAAGGCGGGCAGGTTTACACCCCCGTTTCCTGAGCACACTGCCGCACGCAGTCACGCCACACCCGGAGCTGCACTTACCGCGGACCCCCGCGCCAGGAGCTCCGCAGGCACCGCCGCTCGCCCGCCGCCTCCGCCCGCGGAAGTTCAGCAGCCGTGGCAATAAATGACCATCACCAAGGCAACGAGGGGAAAGGCCAGCGAGCTTGGGTTTCACCTGCAGAGACTTCACCTGAGTCACGGCGGGGGAGTGTCGGTCGGTCGGGTTCA